AACATATTTTATCGCTTAGCTCAAAATCTAAAATAGTAAACAAATATTTTTTATCTTGTCATCTAAAATAATGTTTCCAAAAATATTAAAGCTTTTAGCTACTTAAATTGAAAAGAAGTATCTACATTATAAATGATATGGAATAATTCATTTGTACCCATTTATTATAGCTAATGCCAGCTGCATAGGTATATAATTAGAGCCAATGTAAATAAAAATTGAAAACAGTTACACATTCGGAAACTTATTCATATGGCACAATATAAAAATATGTGCAAAAGTTGTAGGCAGGTATATCGCCTAACCCAATAATTAACTAAATTTTGGGTTCAAAATAAAATTCAATATGTATCTACGGGTTACGATTATATGTGTGTAATTGTGTGAAAATATATATTATATTATATTATATTATATTATATGGGTAGGTATATGTTATACATTAAACACAATACTGTTATTCAATACTTTTAACCATATACATATGTATATCAATATACCATAAAAAACTAATAACATTGACACGCTTTTTAACTTTTCAAAAGATAGATCGGCTGTGATGGAGTGGTTTGGTTTGAAAGCGTATAATGCCAATATATAGTGGAATGTTCATCCAATGTGGGCGTAGTACATAGATGGATGGGTGGATGATTATCCATGTAACTCTGCATGTCATTCTCTATTTAGGATTTATAAAAATCGGTGGGTATTAGCCATTAGGCTTACTAAGTTGCTCATAAAAAACCTTATCCATAACATTTGTGTTCCTCTTTAGGACCTTCGTTAATGGTTGACCTTTTATAATGGGTAAAAACAATAAAACACTCTTAGAATCTTTTCTTACGAGTATTATAAATCTGAACAGTAATAATAATTTAAAACATTTGTTTTTATCTACAATAAGTTGTGTTTAAATTTTACCGAATTTCTAGAAGAAAAACTTAAAACCAGTTCACTCTATTAGTATTTAATATAGATGACCTATTCATACTAATAAATTGTCCATAACTTGTTGTAATCTACTGAGATATTAAGAAGGGCTGACAATAATCGATTCTCATAAGAATGCAATTATAAAACCAATCAACAATTTTATCTTATTATTACTATAGCTTAACTAGTTTAGAAACACGTGAAAAGTTTACCTTGCATAAAAGTTAATAATTACCTACGTAGAAAAGCAAAAATAGTTATTACACTTCTTCGATTTTTATAATTAGCCGTTTGATTATACAAACTTTTATTCACTAAGGATACGGATGTGCATGCTTTTTAACTTTAATTAGGTGCATTTTAGAGAATTATGAATCAATAAGTCTTGTTCTACGAAGACACATCGTTAAAGATTTTTGTACACGTATTATTACATGGAAGTTTATTACTGTACAGTACACTATGTTCAAGTGTGAGAGCAGGTGCAATGAATATAACGTATGACATAAATATATATATGTAGGAGATTTAAGGTGTGATTCCTAAGAACGCGCCTAGAGATTATTGTTCATTTTTATAACTTATATAACTAATAACAGTCAATTGACCAGTTAATAAAATTAAAATTCCTAATTATCAAAAATCGAAAATATTCACGTAGCATATAGATCTAAGATCAGTGCCTTAATAGACTAAAATAAATGAAGTGTAAGTTAAATATCTTAAAACAAACATTTAATTTAATTGTAAGTTATATAAATAATAGTTATATGAATGCAATGCATCTTTAAGATTAAAGATTTTTGATATACGAGATACTTCAGTGTTTCATTATAATGAAATGAAGAACACCCAATTTTCTGACTAGTTAAAATGGCAAAGAAAAATATTGAAATATTAATAACAAAAAAAAAAATTCTGCTCATCTTCTGTTAAATTAAGAATATGATACATTTTCAGTAATTATGTTTTTACAATATCGATGGATTGAATCTGTTTTGAATATTCTGCTAAGAAATGAAGTTATATATCATAAAAGTGAACTTGCATGTTTTCTAAATCAGTGATCAACAGATAAATTATTATTTGACGTACAATTATTTAATATTGTTAAATAATGTATCTATTCTATATAAATAAATTAAAATAATATTATAAAGATTCTCTTGGGATAAAAATAGTTTATTTTAAAACATAGAAAAGTATTCAAAATTTTATTTTTCAATTTTATTGTAATTAAATAAAAATAAAATGTATTTTTTTTAATTAATATCCTATAATTATAGACGGTGTCACAAAAACATAACATATCATATAAAAATTCAAATTTTACTTATTATTTTCATGATGCTTTGGAAGTTGCACTAAAGAAACAAAATAATAATATATAAAATATAAAGGAAAAAACCATTAATTTAAATTTAAAAAGACTCAAAGACTTCATTTTCAACGTTTAAAATTTTTCAATTTGATGGTAATGGTTCATTAGTTTTAAACGATTTTGTTTATTACAATATTTTTAATTTAAAATTAATTAAAGTCTTGTATTTTATAGTATGTTTAATAATTCCAATACGGGAAATGATTACTTTAGATTGTTTTGACGAATATATTTTTTACGCACAGTTGTTTTACAAATTACAATATAAGGTTCACTACAGCTAAAATTGATTAATGACTTTTATCAATCTTATATAATATAAATAAACGATTCATTGTAGTTACCTGCTGTTAACATTATTCAAATTTAATTTAAATAATTTTTCAATTTATTATAAAACATGTTATAATTGATAAACACTACTATTTAATATTTATTAATTAATTATTATTTATTAATAGTATTAATAATTTGCTTAAATCACGTTTATGTTTATTTGTATATTATTGTGTTTGTATAATAAATAATTGTATAAATGTATATTATGACGTAGGTAATCTATGAGATCATCAATTTTGTATAAATGGCATAGGACACAGATTAAGGAGATCTTTTATGTACAGCTAACGAATATTTTAGTTAAAAAAGGGAATCATTTACGACTTTTGCAGGAAAATAATTAAGTAAAACTGAAAACCATCTACAGTTCTATGGTATATGAAATTACGTTGTTACGAGATGCTCTAACTTGCACTATATTCTCAAGAATTTTGATCTCGATTTTTGCAAAGGAATATAAATGTCAACATAATTTTGGAAATATGTATAAAAAACGAAAATGTCAAATTTCTATAAATAGGTCAAAATGATCCATAATATTAAAATTATATTGTCGTCTTTAAATACTGCTATTTTCTAAATTGTATTTTTAGATTAGTTAAATAAATTAGAAATTTAATTTTAATTTTAATTTTTTACCTGCCAAACTACCAACTGTTTCTAATTTACTAGCAAATAAAAAAACAAATATCATTGTTTTACCAATCCTCTCTTTTTACAGAACCTAAAATAAGATTTTGATGATTAATGCCATCTAAATAAAATGATCGGAGACAGCAAAGTTTTTTTTGTTACGTGAATTTTACGCTTCATTAAAGTATGATATTTTTTAATTATGTTAATAAACTGTAGGTACGGTTTTATTTTTCTGAAATAATATTTAAAAGATATACACTATTAGTATTGTAATAGTAAATTTTACAGTTGTACATTTTTTAATATTTCTGGATGGCATTTTATAATCTACTATTTTAGAGGTTACTCAAGTCCACACAGAAATTGTTTGTTTATTTATATTTAACATAATTTAAAATAATACTGCGTATAAATAGGAGTTGAGGATATTTTAACTGAAAATAAGCCTTAAATGTTTGGATGTCATTACATAACTCATCAATTATCTATAATTTTTTACTCATTTAGTATATTTACTGTGTACAAGAATGAATCATAAAATAAATAATGGAAAGTTTTTAATCGAAATACTCAATAAATGACAGAGTCAAAAGTCAAAACTATTTTATTTTATGCTTGACATATTGTCGATAAGACGTCTTTAATTTTAATGTCATAATGTCATTATACAGAATATTATTGAATTACTTTACAATTCCCATTTGCTACTGTCGAAATATATTTACACGTCGCCGTCGGTCAACAAGTAACGCTGTAAATATTATATAAATAAACAATAAACATACAACTACAAGATATTTATAATATAATATTATTATATCTATTAAAATTAAATGTTTATTTTTTTTTATCTCACAAGTTCTTTTTATTCATTGAATAATTAATATTTAAATTCTAGTTGAATAGAGTTGATTGAAGTTTGATAATAATCATTGATGACGATTGCAGAGCTTAGTAAATAGAGGTTTAGTGGTACTTACTCTCATATTTTAATTTTTGAGTGCCGAGGTGAAGATTTATTATTATTTAAATAGCAAACGATATCTTATACAGTTACTTGAATAATGCAATAGTAATTTTGTACCTGCTGGTCGTCAAAGGAACACGGTAGTATTAATTTCTACAGACATAAGTACAGAGTGAACCTTTCATGTATCAGTATCGAACCGAAATCAATACACCGGAGTCAGTTATTATTTATTGCACATAAGGCGAGTCATATTGCCTTAACACACAGCGGAGATACTGTCATCATAGATTGGATAGGCGTAAAAGAGACGAATGCAGAGATTATTATACAGTTGAAGAATGTTTTTTACTTTCGTCTGTACTGCGACGGTACACCTATAATACTATTAATTTATATTATACTGTAGGGCAGTAGATACGGGTGGTAAGGGTTTCGACCCCCTCCCTTCAAAACATAAGGAAAGTATGTAGATGTATCTTAGAAGCATTTAAAACATATTTTTAAGTATTATTTTTTTACCATGATGACCCTCGCCCCTCTCATATTAAATTCCTGTCGTCAGCACTGGTGTGCTGGTGAGTAAAATATACGGACGGTTGATCATCGCTCTAAGAAAGCGACTACGCTCTCCATCGGAACCGTCGGTGGAGACAGTTTCGCGCCCAGGACCCAAACCCTCTAGACCCAATGACCCATTTGCAGAGTTACGCAGACAAACTGCAACCGAGAATGCACACTCACCTATGGAAGCGTCGTAAATGTGCAGTGACTCGGATGTCATGAACTGACACACCAGAGACGTCTTGCCGACACCTGTGGCACCCAACATGGCTATGCGAAACGGCTGTGTGATGCCTGGACAGCTGGCGCAACTGGACTCTCTGGAAGACGCTAACGACGTGCCGGCACTGGTTCTCGCCGAACCCGGGTAAGAGCCGCTTCCACCTCCACCTCCACCACCAGCACCACCGCAGCCGACCCCGATCACCGTGTAGTTGGAGGCCGTCAAGTGTTCAGTGCTGAAAACACAGAACGGATTATATTATAGTTTCATTGTCACGGGGTGATAACATATATTTTGTTTTCGACGAAAATGATCGGGTGCGACCATAATAAACTATAGCTCAATAAATGTTTATAATAAAAGTCGGAAGCACTCGGAATATGAAACTAAAAATGCACCTATATAATAATATATTAGTCGGAAATTAGAAATTGGAAGTTAAAAAAACTATGTAGAAACGATATAATAGAAATAAATATAATTCGCGTTGTAAGTACATACCTAATAAATTGAATAGGTACTTCAAATATTATGGAAATAAAATGTTTTAAATAACGTTCGTGCTATATAGGTACCAGTATAAATACAGAGAAAAAACTTCTGGGTAATATCATTAGACTCAGTTGTAAAATCATATTTGTCAATTTAATAAAAGCGAGTGGTCAGTTTTTGCGAAGAAAAAAAATATAATAGGTTTCGTTCAATTTCGATACACTTTATTTAGTTTCTGATTGTTGTGGGCAAATAAACGTCTAGATAGTAATGGGTATCCAAACGTAGCCTGTGGTAGTGTCATATCCGAATCGAATACAATTGGTGATGTCAGATGACATCGCTGTAAAAGAATTTATTTTTACAACGGTGGACATTTCGTAGAGTAATTTCTTTTCACTAAAATAGTTATGAAAAAAATAGTAAAAAATAAAAACAACAATTATATAACTTTTGAAAAAATAACGCAATTTAAAGCGTTGATCAACTTTTTTAAACTTATAGTTTAGTGACGATGTGTCAACGTAAATGTAATAATTAAATTGCAATGTTGAATATTTATTTTTAATAAAATATGAAAAAAAAAATTTCGATGATAAAAATAACAAATCGACTTTATTATAACTCAATAGAAAAAAAAATACTAAAATAAATAAATATTCGTCTATATAGAGATATACATAATATAATATGGTATCATACTATTATGTATGTTGATTGTTCTTACACATAATTTTTATGTTAATCTGTCGATTTGTAATAAACTCATTCAAAATGAAATACTATTTTGAATACCTACAGAAAAGGTTTTCCATGCTTAATTCAGGTACATTATTGTACACGCGCATGCAACTCATTAATTTGATTTTATACAGTTATATAATATCATGTTTATATGTACAGACTTAGTATCAATACGTAGGTATTATATTTGTATGTATAGTCTGTTGTATACAACGAATATTGATATATTATGTTTAAATTAAAGTATATGATATAGTTTTATGTAGTCTATAAGACATTAACTTATTATATGTGGGATAATCAGAAAAATTACTGAAATATTTAATTTCTTGTTAGGTGAATGTAATCAAAAAGGCCAAATGAAAGGAAAGTTGTTTGGAAATACGATAAATCTAAAATCAGAACATTTAGTTTTAAATAGATTAGTAGGTAATTCCATAAAGTTGTTCAGACTAATGGCATTACTTTTTGATATAAAAATTTGAATTCAAAATGATTGCCCTTCATTTTTTAATTAATTTGCTAATTGGATTTTTTTTAAACTTTGTAGGAAATAAATGTGATATATTTCTAAAACATGATTATTTTGTAAGCAAATATTGTATCTATTCGGTTTTTAATTAGAATTTGTTTGAAAAAATAATTCTATATTTACGATTTGGGTGGTTTATAATATGACCGAGCCAATCTAAGGCATGTTAAAATCGTTGAACGAATATTATTATTCTGTTTTGTAATTTGAAATTTGTGTAATAGATTAATATGTTTAAATATTATTATTAAAAGAATATATTTTTAATCTATAAATAGAAAAACCATATTATTGAACAAATACCTAGGCATGTGTTTTAATATTTTAATTTTGATTTGTAGCGTTTATTTTATACGGACTTAAATTAACTTATTATTGAGAAGTATCTTCAACAATACAATATGCTTATCAAGAATGTGCAGCAAATTTTAGTTGCGCATGCATAATAATATTGTGTACTGCAAGGAAAAAAGTATGGGAATTACTGTCCAAGAGGATCTACATGAACTTTTGATGTCGTATCTATTATTATAATAATTTAACTTAAGTATTCTGTATTGTTAAGTTTATAATTTATATTGTACATGATGTGTTGAAAAGTGTCGAAATTAATCAGCTTAGAAGATAGTATTCATCAGCTATATTTACAATATATCAAGGAAAATGACAGTATCGATGGACGTATTCTGCTTCTCCTAGAAAGTGTTATTCTTGTTACCAGAACCCGATCAATGTTCACACCTACTCTGTTATCCTCCAGTTTTATTATTTTATGTTGGACTGTAGTTAAGTAAAATATACCTATAATAAATATTTTATGAATGTATACACGTCAAGTAATAAAATAAATATGATATGAATTTTTTAATTACATTTTGTATGAATTGGTACCAACTGCGAAGGCAATGAAAATATTAAAACTATAACCCAGTCCCTGGAAGTATTGTAACAAATAGCTCTAAATTACACCTGTCTTAAGAATGAAGTCGTAAAGTACGCCAATGGTAATTAAATCAATTTACTGTATTGAATTTTCAATTATATTTTGGAAATGTGGAATCTTAGAAAAAGGAGGCATTTTTTTATTCATCACCTGCTGAAGCTGTAAAAATACATGTATATTAAAAATACTTAAGAATACAATTTTGCAAGGATAACATAATAACATGATGTTCAACGGTTATGGTTGTTTATATTTATAGGTATAAATTAATAATAACAGAAATCTTTTGAAAATAATACAAGACTAAATTTGCAATATTGTATTAAATTATAATTCATGGTTGTTATCATGACGTTACATAATAAATGCGAAATGATAGAATAACATCGTTTATTTAAAATATCAATGTTCTTAAAAGTGAAAATTTTAAGTTTTTTTTAAAGAAAGCTTATTTAAACATTTTTAAATGCTAAAGTTTAGCTGGCTTTACTAAAAATATTTGTATGTTGCTGTATGACAATTTTATATTTTAGAAAATAATAAATTGCAAAAATTATAATAAAATCACATAGATTTCTATGTAGATTAACTACATTGTAGGAGAAAAATATTTGGATGTAATGCGTTTTTGTTTTAAATATATAGTATAGGTATTGCAAACGTAATATAACAATGATATAGTCAACCTTGGCATCATCATGATGCTGTCATACATACTCATATTTACCTTATGTATATTGCAAACAATTTTAACTGAATCTTCGAAAATAATCTTTCCGAACTCTTATAAGTTCTATAATATTATGATTTGAGCTTAACTTCTAGCACAAAATGTGTAGCTTAAATCGTTGATATCGATGAGTATTGTCCTAGTTTTAAATCAAATTTTTGTCATATGTAATGTCAATTTATTCAAAAAACGTTATACAAAAATTTCATGACTATTAAAGCTTTAGGTTTTGTGTCAAAGGATTGTTGGCAATTAAATTATTGAACAGCTGCAAACTATGACAGATCAGTCCCGTAACTTTAAATTATTAAATTTAACCAGACAGATGCACAATGAATGGCATTCTTATTTCAAATGAAGTCGGCTCAGTTAAGTATTTAGGGATACTTCGAAACGAAAAATTAACTCGGAAAATCCACATTAACAAAAAGCTTATAAACTTGTATTCCCCGTATTAAATAACTGCTAAATCCATCAGATGAAAATAAATGCTCTCTTCTGTGATATATGTCAATAGTACGAAGCTTTTAAGTCAACTTAACCTAACCCACACATAAACAGCATGGGCGACTGCACCAAAAAATCAATTAATACAGTTTCACGACAGACTTAACAAAACCAATGAATCCCTCTAATTAAAAATCGGCAAAATTACATAAAAACCAAGATTAATACCACTACGCACCTACCAGCCTACCTCATGATAATATATTCCTTAAAGACTTCGAAGACCAACCGGACAACTAATAAATAAGATATATTGTCATCGTGTATTGGCTGCAGAATTTTCAAAGTATTAAGTTTATTGAGGCCGTTAATCAAAAAGTAATAAATAAAAAAAAAATGCTAACGCGTGGCACCAGAGTTAAAGATATTGAGGAATTACAGTGATTTGGCCACAACGCTGTCTCGCAGCTATAGTATAATATAAACACACGTCACTACATTATACAGCAAATCCAATCGAAATAAATTCGCAATAAACCCCCTGCTTGGGTAATCAACTCACAAAGGATAAGGGCCAATGGTTTTTGTGTAATCAAATGCCTATACAAAATTACAAAATGCCGACCACATAGGTTTTGGCCATACCGTATACGTAACGTAATAAATAAAAGTTTTTTTTTAGGATTTACGTATAATTTGTGATAGTTCCATGAATCGATCAGATTGATATATATATATTATGGTGAAATGTTTTACTGAATTATTATCATTACATTTTTTTAACCAGGCGAATTTTATTAAAATATAAAGTACAGTGTTAATTTTGTAAATATTCGATCTTCTTTATATAAATACTTATGTATTTAAAGTTAAACATTATTGTATCTAATAATATTCAGTTTTAGTTATCAACATAGACAGAACTACGGTTGAAGCAGTCAGACCATGGCAGGATCGAATACTGACTGGATTACATGTACTAACTGTATACAATTCAAAATGTAAATAAAAATCATTTGAGTGTTATATCTGAGTAGCTACTCCCCTCAAGTATTTACTGCCAATAATATCTTACTCACATCTGCTTATTGTAAAAATGTAATAGATTGTGTATATTCTAATAAATGTAAAAAAAAAATACAAAACTTATTTTGTAATAAGAATTTTTTTTTTTCATATTTATCATTTGGCCTGTCCTAATAACATGTTTTCTTCTTTTATCCATTAATAGTATTTATGTGAAACTATATTATTATAAGATAATGTTCGCAAGGCCTAATAATTTTCATACCAGTCATAAATTATTCTCTTATTTTTTTAATAAAAGTTGTATTAATAATTATCATTTAATTATGAACATTGCATTTGATTTCCTGAACAATTGCTGTTTTTGAAATGTGGGCCTTATTGTACTGGTAGTGTGTTATGTTGACAATCCAACATTGATAGAAATCAAAAGATTATTTGGGTCATTTTAAATCGTATGTTCACTTTATATGCCTATACAATACTTATAAGTTATAACATTTATATTTTTAATTATCCATTCAAAATTTGTATACTATTATGAAGAGTATTCATTAATGATTGTATATATTAAGTTGTATTTAATACAATACTGCAATTTACTAACAATTACATACATATTATATTTTTACAAGTAAAAAGTCGTTTCAACGTTATTTGAAAATTTCAATGACTAAAAAGAGATTTGGGAGAGAGTCATTCAATGGAAGTGTTGGCTATTGGTCATCGACCTAATATAGTTGGAAGTGATGTGTGAAAAATAAGAAGAAAAATAATTGATGACTTAAAAAAAGGTAATATAGTATGTTAAGTGTTTGAAAAAAATGTGACTCATACATAAACCAGCAGTTTATTAGGTATCTGAAACGTGTGTAAAATGTGCCTACTATTTAGACTGATATCAGAAAAGCGTACAATTTCATTATTATGATTCGTATGCACAATCAAAATAAATAGTAATATTAAATTAATTGATTGAAAACAAAGTGCTTATTTAGTTCAAGAAATAAATGTACTAAGGTTGATATCAATTTACACTGACTACATAAAATACGTTCATAATCGGAGGCTAATGCCTAATAGACACATTTTTGTAATTGGGAGAATGTTTGATTGGCGGTACACGGAAATTTAAAAAAATGCCACAACGCTTATAGCTTATTCTTTAGGACATTCTCCCCCAGACTTAGGAGAAATATTATTTATCACTGTATAAAAACCAATGTTTAGAAAATTTGGAAACTTAATTTCCATTCACCAAGTCAAGTGAGTGGTGACCGACAACATTTTTTATAGACTAAAGTTAAATATTTTAATGATATTAAAAAAAAAGAGCTTCTTGGACTCGAGGCTACTAAGAATTAGAGAAAGTTCCTGTGTCTCCATACTCCTATCTATTACTGTATATTAACCATATTATGGTTTAGTATAATATTTTTACTTCAATTTGATTTACCTTGAATTGCTTGATGCAACACTGTTGTTTGATTTTGATCTTCGACTTTTTAGGGAATCCCCTCTGTTGATGATCCCTTTGCCAGAAATTGAAAACTGTCGGATTCGATAGTATTCCTCTTCAACACCAGTATTTGGCATACTAGCCACCCTAGACCTCTGTTGTGGCAAGGTAAGTTGGTTGGAACGGTTTTTGGGTATGCCGTTGGGTCCCAAGTGCAATTGTACCGTGCTTTTGCTGCCAGGCGTCCGAACACTCTGTGATCTGCTATGATGAGGACTCCCATACCTATGAAATACAATTAAAATGCTTTAAGTACATGGAACTGGATTAGAACCAATGCAACTGTAGTTACGGGCTCAAAAAACAATAGACCACACATCGTTTAAATTTTCAATTTAAACACTTAAGATTTGTATATTTAATACAAGATTCCCCATAACTTTTTTTTACCGGAAATTAAAATAAAAAGTTGATCTCAAACCTACATTAATTTTTGACGGTATTGGATATTCAAGCTTAAAGTAACGATTTATTTACAAATGACTTTTGTGAGCTCGTTGTAGTTCAAAACCCATTAATAAAATAAGTTGAATAAACCAGCTAGTCATTAATATAACTATTGTAAATTGATCGTTAAAATTTATGATTACTATAATGCATAACAATGTATAATGTATGTAATTGTTTTAAATTATCTAGAATTCACAGATCCATAAAATATATTATTCATCTTCTTATGTGTTTAAAGATGTACGAAAATTACCTTATGTATTTACGAATAATGTGTATTCGCTCTGACGCTTGAGATTAATAATTTGTTGTACATGGTAATTTTATTAAACATTATCAATACTTAAAATAAGACTTTTAGACGTTCTATACGTGTTTGGTTGTTGGTACTATGCTGTAGTACAACATCTCCGAGTCGTAAAATTTTCGATTTATAAAACTGTGTTATTTTAGTGATTGCGGTGGTATGTATTTTTTTTTAAACTAGAATTGTATTAGGTTTAAATCTTAAACATTTTCTGATAGGTCCTCAATTCGATGTATCGTCGTTTTATTTTACCGTAGATTTGGCTTTTTTTTCATTAAATGTTGTGCTTTTCTCATAAATAGTAATGGAAGTCACCAATTTTGACACACACGGAATACAATTTAAATCTAATTTCCGATCAATTTTATACATGTTAAAGAGTATTTTTAAAGTAGGCTCTAATACTCCACAACGTTGGTTATTGAGAAATAAAATACACCCATCGTTATTCTAAAACCATTAGACTTTATCGCATCGCTCTAAGAATCTAAAATTTGGTCCTATGGTGTTTTAATAACTATTTATATAGTTGATTATTTATAATGATAAACCACTGAATATTTGATTTAATAAATTAAAATAATGTCAACAGTAAGTTGTTAACAAAGATTTGATTTACTATACACAATATCAGAAATGTTTTCAACTGTTAGTATTTTACCATAATATTATTATGTTTTTATTTTATTACCCCATGTTTTTAACATAATATATTATATAGGTATAATTTTAAGTGATTCGTATTTTTTTTTTTTTTTAGTACATTAATTCTGCAAACATTTAGAAAAAAAACGAGTAAATCATAAATAATATGATGCCATTATTAACATTTACTCAAACATTCATGATTTCCGAGTATGAAATTTAAACTAACAGTAATGATGAAAGGTAAATAAAAGTATATAAATTGCATGGTATTTTCAAAGGGCTAAACTGGTGTTTTAATGTGTATTGTATTACAATAATTATTACATAAAATACATTTTTATTTTAACAAACACTCCACGATAGTCTATGTTGTTATATTATACTATTAGAGTTCTGAATTGCGTGTTTACAACAAATTTCATATTTGGTATTATTTTGTTTTATGTTTGATAACTTAATTTAATTTTTCACCTAACATGAAATATATTATTATATTTGTAAGATAAACTATTTCGTTTCATTTTTCTCAACTATTTTAAGGTGATAATACACTGGCTCTATATTCGTTTCGATTATAGCTTTGGAAATGTTGCAACGACCCTGTCGCTCTTTCTTATTGACAACACAATCCTGTGGGAATTTCGAACAGTCGCGAAAATGGCGAGTAGGGAAGAAAAACCCCCAAAATATTGAATAACCAATAAAATTTGTTTTCAGCCGTTTTATTTTGCACAGTGAAACATCCAATACGATAAACTTTGAATGACTTTACGTAAGGAATATTTTTTCCAGAGGAAATAAGTTATATTATATTAGTACAATTGTACAATGTCGTATGTTGATAACAATAAATCATCCATGGACACTTGACACATCTTTTGAGTACACATTTATCCACTATGTAGAAAGGCATCCAAAGGTATTGAAGAATCGTTAATGTAAAAAAAAGATGGATTCAAGTCTTTTTTGACTGTTAATTTTAAATTTATTGATCAGATATTTTATTGCATGTAACTTATAGTATATGCTATTATATATACATTTTTTTTATACAAAATGTACATGTATAGTTATAAAGTGCAACTATTTATAATATAACTTCCATGATACTAGAATTTTAAATATAATATGGGAATTTATAGGTATAGTTTTATGTTATAACTGTATAAATTTATATTTATATATTTTTTTAATACAAAACAATGTATTAACATCGCCACATTCTTTTCTAAATTCCGATGATTTCTATAACTCACATTAATTTACTTCTAAAGAGTTTTTTCATGCTAGATATATTAATTTATAGGCGTTAGTTACCCAAGGCTGAGTTAATAGGTCTCAGTTCGTTTACAGAGTCTCGCCGATTTAATGTACTGTACCCATTAACTTAACGCCCGCCGACTAGAAAAAGGGAGGCGTTGTCGTGTTCATTCAAACTTATCGTATTATGTTATAAAACCTCCGCTGCCATGAATATTTTGGCTCTTTGTACGCTGACGAGTGTACCCAATGACGTTCACACGTAAAGTAATAATAAATGAAAGTGTCTCAGTGAACTTTCAGAAATTTATTTATAGAGAATATAATATTTATAAAGCTGTCAAAGGTGTTCGTCATTTGTTCGAAAACTGGTATTTATTTATTTTTTTGCCTAGGACTGACGTTTTTAATATATTATTCGGGCGGACGTCGTTATAATATGTCACTTTGATGTCTTATTTTGAAAGAGTGTGCATATCGTATAAAACATAAACATATTGTATTTCACACAAAGCAATCAAAGCGAATCAACTGAAATGGTATTGTATTTTATATTTCAAATAAATTCAATGAGATTCCAAGGTACATTATTGATTCAAGCAAAATTGCTGTGTTCGTATCCCAATAACAAGAATACGAATGTTTAAACTTCGTGCTAGTATATTATATTATATTTGTATGACATATTATTTATTGAGTCGTTGATCAAGATTGAACAGAATTTATAATTTTTACACATCTCTTCTCCACACACTTAATTATTACATAGTATAATATTAAATTTGTGTGTGCGGTTTGAGAATAAAATATTCTAAACTGTCGTAAGACTAGTTCAACTATCATATTTAAGATTAATAAACATTATTTTAAGTGTTCAGAAAAGAAAACACAATTTTTTAATCACAAATAAATTAAAAATCCGGTTTTCCATTACTAGAAATTATAGTTTTAATATGAATTATGTTATTCAATGTTTATATTTGTGATTTGTGATTCAGATACATCAAGAGCGTTAATTAATATTTTTAAATTTCGTTGTTTTTAAACAGAATAAATACAATTTTTTTTAAATATACTAATGATGATCAGTATAGTCCTAGCATTGTGATTCGTACAAAATAATGACACATTTATAAAAGTAAAACCAATTACGTTATAACTACCAAACAAAATTTGAAATGTACACTGTATAACATCGCAAAACTCTCAATAATAAGAAAAATGAATCTATAGAGTATTTTACAAAGGTCGTTTTATGATCCATAAAATAAATTTGCAGCTCACCCAATGAACGTAATAATTGTCATGAGAAGGGGTTCTTTTACTGTTTTATTATACCAATTTCAAATGAGGAAATTGCAATGTTGTTTTCAAGAAGTCTCTACAGTCTTTCATTGTGAACTCGGTTCTGAAATGATTTTCCATTAAGCTATCCATTAAAATTATTGTTTTATGAAAAGGTAAAGATATTCCCTAGAATGATACACATGGAAAATTCGATTCATATCTGTCTGTCAATCCTATTGTTGAGACTCCAAATATTCAATTGCATTTTATTAAGTTTAATAATAACCCATAGGCATACTTACGCATTTAAATTAAATTCAAATTTTACTCAATAATATGAGGTATATTTAAGACTTTAGGTGACATTGACAATAATATAAGTTTTACAATAATGAATCAATATGTAGTATTTTTATTTTCATTAGATATTTATAAGAGCCTCTATTGGCTCTTATAAGCAATCTAGTAAAAAATGTAAAATGTAGCAATGAAATCAATTGGCTTAGTGAAATATAAAAATAAACTATGTATGTAGGAATAGGGTTATAGTTGATTTTTTTAGTATTTTTCGAGAAAATGTAATACTAGTAAAATTATAGGATTGTATTCTACAATATTGGTTTGCGTTATGTTAAATTATCACAGGATTTTTTTTTAGAAATATTTTAGTCAGTTAAATAATAATACTTTTTAGATTTTTACTAATTTTATTATTCTAATTTATCATATATATTTTTTTCACTTTTGCCACCCACTCAAAATTGTGACTCAGTACAAAAAACGATGTTATGGGTTTTTTTTTGAACCCTCAATGTTGTTCATACATTTTAATATTTACTATGATAATTTCTGTACATATGTTACCGTCAACGTCGGAACTCAGTTGTTCTCAATAATGACAAGTCATTTTAATGTATTAGAGAATTTATAAAATGACTAAACTAGTCAAGTGGGTAATATTTAATTTATATACTAGATTATTACTTAAATTATCAAAGAATACTTAAATCGCGAAAATCGTTATGTTCTTATAATTTCTATTTATCAGTCGTTACTATTTAATATTATTATAAAAACCAATTGTCTTATTTATTCGCATAAAGCAAACTGTAAAACATTTTGAACACTTATGCATAATCTCTCACGATTTAAATTTTCAAAACAAAAAAAATTGCAAATACGTCATACACCGAAATGTATCATTAGGTGAACCGTTTATTCACAAATACCGGTTTTTTAAATACTCGATAATGATCAACCCTCCTACCCCCCT